TGCGTAAGGAGTGGTATGTCTCTGTATGAGGTGTGTGCATGGGGAGTGTGTGTGTGGTGGGTGAGTGGTATGTGACTGAGGTGTGTTCACTGTGGAGTGGGTGTGTTGTGAGTGGTGCTGTGTGAGGTGTATGTACTGTGGTGTGTGTGTGGTAACTGGTGTGTATCTGAATAAAATGTCTATTCTGTGTAGTGTGTGTGTGATTAGTGGTATGTGTCTGCGTGAGGTGTGTGCAGTTTGTGTGTGGTGAGTGGTGTCTGTGTGTGGTGTGTGCCCTGTGGAGTGTGTGTGTGATGAGTGATGTGTGCCAGTTTCAGGTGTGTGCACTTTGGAGTGTGTGTGTGTTGAGTGGTGTCTCCTTGTGAGGTGTGTGCATTATGGAGTGTGTCTGGAGGGTGTGTGTTGTATCATGTGTGTGAGTTATGCACTGTGGTGTGTGTGTGATGAGTGTGGTGTGTCTGTTTGGGGGTGTGTATTGTTGAGTGTGTGAAGTGTGTGTGTGTGGTGCATGGTGTTTTTCTGTGTGAGGTATGTGCACTGTGGAGTGTGTGTGTGGTGACAAGTGTGTCTCTGAGGTGCTTGCACTGCAGAGTGAGTTTGTGTGGTGAGTGGTGTGTGTCTGTGTGAGGTGTGTGCCCTGTGAAGTGTGTGTGTGGTGCGTGATGTGTGTCAGTTTCAGCTGTGTGCACTGTGGAGTGTGTGTGTGGTGCGTGGTGTCTGGCTTTGTGAGGTTTGTGCACTGTGGTGAGTGTGTGTGGTGTTTTGTGTGTCTGTGTGAGCAATGTGTATTGTGGAGTGTGTGTTTGAATGTGTGTGGTGCGTTGTGTGTTTTTGTGTCAGGCGTGTGAGCTGAAAAGTGTGTGGTGAGTGGTGTATGTGTGTGTGAGGTGTGCGCACTGTGGAGTATGAGTGTGTGTTGAGTGGTGTGTGTCTATGTGAGGCAGTGCACTGTGGAGTGTGTGTGTTGAGTGTTCTGTGTCTGAGTGAGGTGTGTGCACCGTACAGTGTGTGTGGTTTGTGTCTGAGATTTGTGTACTGTTGGGTGTGTGTGTGGAGTGTGTGTTGAGTGGTGTCTGAGTGAGGTGTGTGCATTGTAGAATGTGTGTGGTTTGTGGTTTGTGTCTGAGATGTGTGTACTGTTGGGTGTGTGTGTAGGGTGTGTGGTGCATGGTGTGCACCTGAGGGGTGTAAACTGGATTGTGTGTGTGGTGAATGTGTCTGTGAAGTGCGGGCACTGTGGAGTGTGAGTGGTGAGTGGTGTGTGTGTGAGGTGTGTGCACTCTGGAGTGTGTGTGAGATGTGTGAACTGTTGAATATGCTTGTGGTGTGTAATGTGTTTCTGTGTGAAGTGTGTGCACTGTGGAGTGTGTGTTGTGTGGTGTGTCTGAGGTGTGCACGCTGTGAAGTTTGTGTGCAGTGAGTGGCGTGTGTTTGTGTGACACTTGTGTACACTGTGGAGTAGGTGTGAGGATTGTGGCGTGTCTCTGCGAGGTGTGTGCACTGTGGAGTGTGTGCTTGAAGAGTGTGTGGTAAACATTGTGAGTCTGTGCGAGGTGTGCTCACTGTGGAGTGTGTGTGAGGAGTGGTGTGTGTCTGAGGTGTGTGCACTGTGCAATGTGTGGGGAATGTGTGTGGTGCGTGGTGTGTGTCTGACGTGTGTGTACTTTGGGGTGTGAAATTTGTGGTGAGCGGTGTGTGTTCTTGTGAGGTGTGTGCACTGGGCTGTGCCCACAGCCCCCGCCAGAGGGCCCATAGCAGCCCCCAGGACCACCCTGGCTGCTAGGAACTATTTTGAAAAGGTGATGTAATATGATACTGGGAACAATATCATAGCGAGATGATAATGTTATTCTGTTTTTTTTATATTAGGCACTAGCTCTAGTTACACCTCTGCCATATTGACAAAAATGTCATCCTCACCCCCCTTGACATTCGAATTGAAGCACAGGGAGGTTTCACTCCTTGCAATGTTTAATTCAACATAATTGTTTTCTTGTGGACATTAGTGACCATATCAGAGCATGGTGTACACCTCTTGCTATATTCAGAGTATTTCCCTATGGGCAGTTACATTCTCCTTTCCTTCTCTGGATATTAGGAACAATGTCACAGGACCGGCGTACAGCCCCAGTCACATCGTGAGTAATGTCATCTATAATCCCCTAGTTATTAGGAGCAATATCACGGGGGGATTGCGCTCTCTGAGGTATTTGGAGTAATATCCTCTCCGTTTTTGGATATTAGAAACAATACTACGGTGGTGGTGTACACTTTCTGTGACATTCAGGGTATAATCATCCTCTGTCCCCAGGTTATTAGGAACTATGTCACAGAAGTGTTGTACTTTGCCTGTCATATTGGAACAATCAGAGTGTACACTTGCTTTCACAATGAGAGTAACACCTACTTAAAATATGATGGATAATATCACAAAATGACACACATGAATGTATACCCATTTTGATATTGGAAGTAATTTTTATCTAAATACTAAAAATCATATCCCAGAATATATTCATGATGTGTACACTTATTGGGATACCACAATAAATGTATATAATATGTACCATATGTACATTGACTGTGATGTACATATGTGTACGCAATACATATGTACAATAAATGTACATAATCTGTACAATATGTACATTTATATGCACATAATGTGTACACAATAGGTATGTACATAATGTGTACAATATGTACATTTATTGTAATATCACAATATTATATAATCACAACAGCAGGTATAATCACAATACATATGTAATACATATCAATATAAATGTACACATGTACATATACATTGATTGTGATATTACAATATGTACACATGTGCATCATGTACACATTGTGTACAGATGTACAATATATACATGTGCACATAACTGCACAGTATGTAGATATGTACACTGTACATGTGTACATATAGTTACATATGTGTAAATATATATCTACATGAGTACATAATATGCACAATATGTACACATGTAAAATATGTACACACATGGGTGTATACCCACTTTGATAGCAGGAGTAATTTCTATTTAATATAGTAAAAATAATATCCTAGAATGTACTCATAATGTGTATATTTATTGGCATATTGCAATAAATGTATGTAATAGGTACAGTATGTACATTTACTCTGATGTACATATGTGTATACAATACACATGTAGAAAAAATGTACATAATCTGTAAAATATGTACCTATACATGTGTACACAATGCGTAGGTACATAATGTGTACACTATATGCATTTCTTGAAATATCAGTGATATATATATAATCACAATAATATACATATAATACATAATATCAATAAAAGTACATAATGTACAAATAAAATACATATGTGTTGTGTACATATTATGTACATATATAGTTATTGTGATAACACCATATGTACACCTATACAAATATGTGCCCACTATGTAAATTATGCAGACATGTATAAATAGGGAAAAACTGTGTACCTATGCACAGAGTGCTAGCCCACAGCGCTAGCCCACAGCCCCAGCCAGAGGGCCCATAGCAGCCCCCAGGCTCACCCTGGCTGCTTAGGGATCCCTTGGCTATTGGGCTGTGCCCACAGCCCCTGTCAGAGTACCCATAGCAGCCCCCAGGCCCGCCCTGGCTGCTTAGGGACACCCTGGCTTGGAAGCTTAGGCCGCAGCCCCCAGGCAGACCCTGGCTGCTTAGGGACCCCCCCTCCGGCTAGGGGACTCTGTCCACAGCCCTTGCTGGAGGGCCTGTAGCAGCCCCCAGGCCCACCCTGGCTATGTTTCCAGGCTGGTCCCAAACTCCTGGGCACAAGCGTTTTTCTCTTTTCGGCCTCCCAAAGTGTTTGGTATTACAGATGTGAGACACCACACCTGGCCTCCATCTGTTTCTTTAGAGTAGAGCGGTCCTAGTATGCATCTTTAGCCCATAACTGTTCCCCAGCATTGTTATGTCTTTTAAGCCTCTTTAAATCTCCAAGTTTGTTGGCTGGGTGAGTGCTCACACCTGTAATTTTGATGTGGTAAGATCATTTCAGTTCAGAGGTTTGAGGCCAGCCTGGACAACACAGGAAGAGTCCTGTCTCTACAAAACCCAATTTTCTTTTCTTTTTTTTTTTTTTTAACTCCACCCAGGCTTCAGTGCAGTGGTGTAATCTCAGCTCACTGCAACCTTCACCTCCTGGGTTCAAGCCATTCTTCTACCTCATCCTTTCAAGTAGCTGAGATTACAGGCACATGGCACCATGCCCAGCTAATTTTTGTACTTTTAATATAGCTGGTGTTTCAGCTTGTTGGTCTGGCTGTCCTCAAACTCCTGATCTCAGGAGATTTTGGGCTGAGATGATGGGGTCTTCTAAATATACAATCATGTCATCTGCAAATAGAGACAATTTGACTTCCCCGTTTCCTAATTGAATACCCTTTATTTCTTTCTCTTGCCTGATTGCTCTGGCTAGAACTTCCTATACGGAGCGATCCCCACAGATCCCTCAGTTGTTGGGGACCTATACTATGTTGAGTAGGAGTCGGGAGAGAGGCCATCCTTGTCTAGCACCAGATTTTGAAGGGAATCCTTCCAGCTTTTGCCCATTCATTGTGATACTGGCTGTGGGTTTGTCGTAAATATATTTTATTATTTTGAGATATGTTCCATCAATACCTAGTTTATTGAGAATTTTTGCCTACTCAGGAGGTGGAGGCAGGAGAATTGCTCAACCCAGGAGGCAGAGGTTGCAGTGAGCAGAGATCATGCCACTGCACTCCAGCCTGGGAAACAAGATCAGAACTCCTTCTCAAAAAAAAGTAATGTGACTGTTATTTTCTTGTTATAATCACAGAGTTCATGTGGAAAAGCTAAGCAATATGACAAAATGCAGAGTTAAAGTTTTAAAAAATTGCCCCACATTTGATCAGCAAACCTTTTTTCTTCTCTTGGGTCTTGCTGTTGCCCAGCTGGTGTGCAGTGGCACAATCACAGATGACTGCAGCCTCGACCTCCTGGGCTCGCTCTGTGCTCCTGCCTCCCAAGGAGCTGGGACTACAAGTACACACCCCTACATTCAGCTATTTTTACTATGGTTTTTGTAGAGGTGAAATCTCACTATGTTGCTCAGACTGGTCTTGAACTCCTGGCCTCAAGTGATCCTCCCACCTCAGCCTTCCAAAATGCTGGGATTACAGGCATGACCTTATCTGGAGACCGGGTTGTTACAGAGGTCATCAAGTTAAAATGGGTCATGAAGGTGGGGCCCTGATTCCACATAACTGGTGTCCTTACTAAAAGGGAAATTTGTTGCCAGTAAAAGAAAAAGAAAGAATAAAATATTTTTTCTTGAGACAGTCTTGTTCTGTCACCCAGGCTGGAGTGTAGTGGTGTGATCATAGCTCAATGCAGCCTCAAACTCCTGGGTTCAACTGATCCTCCCACCTCCCGCTTCCTGAGTAGCTGAGACTACAGTTGTGTTCCACCATGCCCAGCTAATTTTCTGTATTTTATGTAGAGATGGTATCTCACTATGTTTCCCAGGTTGGACTTGAACTTCTGGGCTCAAGCAATCCTGCCTTGGCCTCCCAAAGTGCTGGGATTATAGGTGTGAGCCACCGTGACTGCCCAAAGGTAAGTTTGCACACAGAGACAGACATGCATAGAAGGACAATGGCCACTGTAAGTCAAGGGATGCCTGAGCCAGGAGAGAGGCTGGGACAGATTTTTCCTTAGAGCTTCCAGGGAGAGCCCGGCTGCAGACACCTGACTTTACACTTCCGGCCTCCCAACTGGGAGACAACATTTTATTCTATTTATTAATTTATTGAGACAGCGTCTCGCTCTGCCACCCAGGCTAGAGTGCAGTGGCATGATCTCAGCTCACTGCAGCCTCATTCTCCCTGGCTCAAGAAATCCTTCCACCTCAGTCTCCTGAGTAGCTTGGGAACACCACGGAACACAGACACATGCAACCATGCCTGGCTAATTTTTTTTTCTGAGATAGATTCTTGATCTGTCCCCCAGTCTGGAATAAAGTGGTGTGATTTCAGCTTACTGCAACCTTCACCTTCTGGGTTCAACAGTTCTCCTGCCTCAGCCTCCTGAGTAGCTAGGATTACAGATGTGTGCCACCACACCCAGCTGATGTTTGTAGTTTTGGTAGAGACAGGGTTTCACCATGTTGGTCATGCTGGTCTTGAAGTCCTGACCTCATGATTTGCCTACCTCAGCCTCCAAAAGTGCTAGTGTTATAGGTGTGAGCCACCACTCCCGGCCTTGTATTTTTTTCAGTAGAGACAGGGTGTCATCCTATCGGGATTACATACATGAGCCATGGCATCTGGCCTGAAACAACAAATTTGTCTTGTTCTAAGCTACTTTGTTTGTGGCACTTTGTACAGCATCCCCAGCAAAGTTATACCCAAGGAATAATCCATTTCATTGTTAAAACACAGAAGCTCATGCCTTTGGTCGTTCATGAATGTGTAGTTGGATTTTGGCCAGGAACAGAGGCTCATGCCTGTAATCCCAGCACTTTGGAAGGTGGAGATGGGAGGATCACTTGAAGCCCAGAGTTTGAGGCCAGCCTGGCCAACATAGTGAGACCCCATCTCCACACACACACACACACACACACACACACACACACACACACATAAATATTAGCTGGGCATGGTGGCATGCACCTGTAATCCCAGCTACTCAGGAGGCTGAGGTGGGAGGACTGCTTGAGCCTGGGAGTAAGAGGCTGCAGTGAGCTATGTTTGTACCACTGCACTGTAACCTGAACAACACAGGAAATCCCTCTCTATCTCTAAAAAAAAAAAAAAAAAAAAAAAAAAAGGATGGGGGTTTGATTTTGTGTTTTTGTTGTTGTTACTGTGGTTTTTTGAGATGGAGTCTCGCGCTCTGCCCAGGCTGGAGTACAGTGGTTCAATCTTGGCTCACTGCAACCTCATCTCCTCTATTGAAGTGATTCCCCAACCTCAGCCTCTCGAGTAGCTGGGATTACAGGCGTGCATCAGCAAACCCAGCTCATTTTTATATTTTTAGTAGAGGTGGGGTTTCACTATGTTAGCCAGTCTGGTCTCAAACTCCTGACCTCAGGAGATCCACCCACCTTGGCCTCCCAAAGTGCTGGGATTACAGATTTGGGTCACTGCACCTGGCGGATTTCATGTTTTGGCTGGGTTGGGTCTGGCAGGTGTATGGTTAATAAACCAGGTCTAAGTATTTCTAGGCTTTTGCACACAATGACAGCAATGTTGTGGGTGGTGATATTGGCTTCGAACATAGATGAAAACAAGATCTGGTCTCCTTTTTTAACCCGGACGGTGTCGACAAGCTGACCTAGGAGATAAAAAAAATAGCTACATGAGGCCATGAGTACAACCTGGGAAAGGGGATGCCAACTGCTGAGACCCCAGCCCCCCTGCTACCACCCAGCCCACCCACAGTGGCTCTTCCATGTTCATTACACCTTTTGAGAAGTTCGCTATTTAAAGGAGGATGAATCAAGGAAAGTTCAGGGCTGGGGCACAATTCCGTTAAACACGATAAGAAATATGCTTTGGTTTATGAAAACCCATGGCCAGGCATGGTGGCTCACGCCTGTAATCCCAGCACTTTAGGAGGCCGAGGTGGGAGGATCACCAAAGGTCAGGAGTTTGAGGCCATCATGACCCACATAGTAAAACCCCATCTCTACCAAAAATACAAAAATTAGCCAGGTGTGGTGGCATATGCCTGTAGTCCCAGCAACTCGAGAGGCTGAGGCCAGAGAATACCAGGAAGTGGAGGTTGTAGTGAGCCAAGACCACACCATTGTACTCCAGCCTGGGTGACAGAGTAAGACACTGTCTAAAAAATAAAAATAAAATGAGAAAACCTGATCCTTCTGCCAGATATGAGGGTGCATGCCTGTAATCCCAGCACTTTGGGAGCCTGAGGTGGACAGATCAATCAATTAAGGTCGAGAGTTCAAGATAAGCTTGGCTAACATGATGAAACCTTGTCTCTGCTAAAAATACAAAAATGAACCGGGCATGGTTGAATGTGCCTGTAATCCCAGCTACTAAGGAGGCTGAGGCAGGAGAATCACTTGAACGCAAGAGGCATAAGTTGATGCTAGACGAGATTACACCACTGTAACCCAGCCTGAGGGACAGAGCAACTCACCCTCAAAAAAAATTCAGAGAAGACCAAGATATCTGCAGATAATGCACTGTGTCACTTTCCCTGTGCACTTTTCCTGCCTCTTGGTAGACAGCTTCTAACATCACCATGAGATCCTGGTGAAGGAGGGGTGAATACTGAGGTTGCTAGTTTAATGAACATTTTTCCTCCAGAGAGAGATGCTCATCTTCTTTATTTTTTTATTTATTTTTTTTTTGAGATGGAGATTCGCTCTTGTTGCCCAGGCTGGAGTGCAATGGCATGATCTTGGCTCACCGCAACCTCCACCCACCTCCTGGGTTCAAGCAATTCTCCTGCCTCAGCCTACCGAGTAGCTGGGACTACAGGTGTACGCCACCATTCCCAGCTAATTTTTGTATCTTTAGTAAAGACGGAGTTTCTCCATGTTGACCAGGATGATCTCGAACTCTTGATCTTGACCTCGTGATCCACCCGCCTCAGCCTCCCAAAGTGCTGGGATTACAGGCACAAGCCACCGCGCCCGGCCAAGAGGCTCATCTTCTGTCAGATTCCTTTGAGTGTTTTTTTAAACCCTGCTGTAGGTGGTTTACCCTTAGGGCACTTCTCCATGAAGCCACCAGGTGACGCCATTGCTGCATACATGAAACAAACGGATCCAACCTTAGAAAATATTGTTGTACTTGCTTTGAGCTGGGTAGAGTGAGTCAAACCTGTAATCCCAGCACTTAGGGAGGCTGAAGTGAGTTCACTTGAGGCCAGGAGTTCGAGACCAGCCTGGCAACATGGTGAAACCCTGTCTGTACTAAAAAATACAAAAATTAGCCAGGCATAGTGATGCACATCTGTCATCCTAGCTACTCGGGAGGCTGAGACAGCAGAATTGGTTGGGAAGCAGAGGTTGCAGTGAGCCAAGATTGAGACTCTGCACTCCAGCCTGGGTAACAGAGCGAGACTCCATCTCAAAAAAAAAAAAATATAGTGTTCCTAAGGACTGAGAGGGGAAACTGAGGCATGCAGACTGGAGTTGGGGTGGGACTTGGTGAGAGAATGGGTTCAAGTAACCTGTGAATGACTCTCAGAAAGTCAGAGCAACTTAAAAAAATTATTTATTCTACCTCCCACTTCCACATTTTCCAAATATAGGAACCAAAGCTGAGAGGGGGGAGATAAGTATCTTAAAAGCACCACGTTGGTAGGGAGCAGGGTTGCCAGAGAAAACAGGACATCCAGTGAAGTGAGAGTTTTGTACTCTCAGTGTATGTCTCAAATAATGCACGAGACTTAAACTAAAACCTCACTCTGTCTTCAAAGGTGGTAACTGGGTATCTGTATGATGATTTGCTAAGTCTGACAACCCTCATGAGGGTAAAATGAAAATTTGTTTGTTTGCTTGTTTTGCTATTTTATTTTGTTTTTGAGATGAAGTCTCACTCTGTTGCCTAGGCTAGATAGAGGGTAGTGGTGTGATCTTGGCTCAGTACGACCTACGCCTCCCGGGTTCAAGTGATTTTCCTGCTTCAGCCTCCTGAGTAGCTGAAATTACAAGTGCATGTCATCACACCTGGCTAATTTTTATACTTCTAGTAGAGACGGGGTTTCACCATGTTGGCCAGGCTGATCTCAAACTCTTGACCTCAGGTGATCCACCTGCCTCAGCCTCCCAAAGTGCTGGGATTACAGGTGTGAGCCACAGAGCAAGTTTATTATTTCCTAAAAAAAAAGTTTTTTAGGAAAGAAAAGATAGAATGGCTACTCCATAGAGCAGCCCAGAAGACACTGGTGCCCATCTTTAGGGCCATTTCTTCATGACATGCTGAACGAGGGGTAGATTATTCATGACTCCCCCTTTTCAGATCATATAGGAAAATTTTCTGATGTTGCCGTGGCATTTGTAAACCATCATGGTGCTGGTGACAATGTAGCAGTGAGGATGAGCAGAGGTCACTCTGGTAGCCATCTTGGTTTTGGTGGGTTTTGGGCTGGCTTCTTTACTGCAGCCTGTTTTACTGGCAAGGTCTTTGTGACCTGTATTCTGTGCTGCCCTGCTGTCTCATCCTGTGACTCAGAATGCCTTCACCGCCTGGAAATGCAGCCCAGTAGGTCTCAGCCTCCTTTTACCCAGCTCCTATTCAAGATGGAGCTGCTGTGGTTCACAGGCCTCTAACAGCTGGGCTCCTCGGGATCTCCTCATGTTCTGTCCCCTCTGTCCCCAGCTCCTGGATCTCTCCACCATCGCTCTCTTCCTGAGCCGCCTGCCTCTGAGTTTCTTCATCACCAAGAAGAGGATTCACTGTCAGGTTTGGCTTTTGGGAAAAAGACGGACCACGCAGGAAGTGGGGAGAAAGACACAGGCTCTGGTGTGGGCGATGAAGAGGGCAGAGCTGAGTGGGAGCCAGCGGGTCTGGCTTTGTTCTTGTCTCTGTGAGTTTCCCATTGTGCAGACCTGCCCCGCTCCTTCCCCATCGCATTGGATGGTGGCTCAACCCTCCAGTGTTCAGATCCCAGGCCCTGGGTCAGATTAATGCCTTTTTCTCCTGCACCCCATCAGTCAGCAGATTTGCTTGGAGTCATCTTGAAAATGCATCCAGCAGCAAGGCCCTGGCTCACTCCTTACTTCTGCCCCAGCCTTTCTCTACTTCCAGCCACAGGAGACCTGTGTGAGCTGAATCCATTGTACCCTCCTCTGCTCAGACCCACAATGCCCCTGTTTTCCTCAGTCTGAGCCAAAGGCCCCACTGTGGCCCACCTGGCCTGCCCTGAACTGCCTCATTGCCTCCAGCCTCACCTTCCATCCATCTCCCTCCCTTTCCCACCTACCCCCTTCCCCATCCTCACACCTGCCTGATGTTCACACATCTATCCAGGCATCTGCTTTAGCTGTTCCCTCCACCTGGACCACCCTCACTCCAGAAGACCTTGACCCCTCCAGCACCCCCTGCAGTCAGGGCCACCTCCCTCACCATCGTCCAGCAAGGACATGGCCCACCCATCTCTCTCCTCCAAGCAGCTCCCTTCCTTGGCCTATTCTGGGTTTGTTTTTGCTTTTCCCCAACACTTCCCACTTCCTAAAGGGCCCTGCAGAAAGCTCCTGGCAGGGGCTGATGGCATTGCTCTCCTTAGACTGCAAGCTCCACAGCAGCACGGGCCACTCCCTGTGGCAGACTCAGTATCTAGTTAGTGCTCGGCATGCAGAAGTTGCTGGACCAGTGTTCGAGAACTACTGAAGAAGAGAGGGAGGAGGGAAGAAGGGAGGGATGGGAAGAAAGGAAGGAGGGGAGGGGTGAAATGGAGGGAAGGAAAGATAGGAAAGGGGAGGACAGGACAGATGGAGGGAAGGAAAGAGTTGAAAGAGGAAGAGAAGGAATGAGGAAGGAAGGAAGAATGAAGGAGAGGGGGAAAAAAGAGGGCAGAAAGAAAGGCAGGAAAGCAGAAGAAAGAAGTAGGGAAGAAAAGAAAGAAAGGTGGGGGAGAGGGAGGGAAGGGGGATGGAGGAAAGGAACTTATTTCCTCTCTAGGCCCAGCTGTCCCAATGTCCATCTGTCACTTGGACTGTTTCTCCAGCCTCCGGCATGGCTGCCTCCGGGCATGGTGGCTCACACCTATAATCCCAGCACTTTGGGAGATCGAGGCAGGCGAATCTCCTGAGGTAAGATGTTCAAAACCAGCCTGGCCAAAATGGCAAAATGATCTCTCTATTAAAAACACAAAGATTAGCTGAGCATGGTGGCAGGCAACTATAATCCTAGGTACTCTAGAATCTCAGGCAGGAGAATCATTTGAACACGGGAGGCAGAGGTTACAGTGAGTTGAGATCGCCCACTGCACTCCAGCCTGGTAACAGAGCAAGACTCCCTCAAAAAAACAAAAAATAAACCTTCTCCTGGCAGCTGCCTTCTGATAATGCCCCCCTTACCTGGTGAAGCACGGGAGATGCCGGACTCCTGCCTGACCCTAAAGTGCCGAGTGACCCTGCCCACGCACTCCTCTGGCCACACGGAGTGTCCTGAGTCATGCTGCTCCCTGTGCCTGGGTTTTCTCTGCCCCCTTTCTCAAACCCTTCCCTCCCTCTTCCTGGCCCCATCTCCTCATCCTCTGCCTGCCCAGCACCTACCTCCTGGTCATTTAAGGTGTAGCTCAGTCTGTAATCCCAGCACATTAGGAGGCCAGGGCCAGAGGATCACTTCAGCCCAAGAGCTTAAGGCCAACATGGGAAACATAGTGAGACCCCCTGACTTTACCAACAATTTGAAAGAAAGAAAGAAAGATGTAGCTCAGGCATTACACCACCTCCAGGTAGCCTTCCTGATGGCACCATACCCAGGTGGGCTCAGGGGCAGCCTCTGTTCTCTGGGCATCAGAAGCTGCCTCCCGAGGGCAGTGGTCCCAGGTCAGTTCCTGCAGGAGTTCAGGCACGGGATGATGGTAGATGGATCAGGACTGAGGGTCAGAGATGCAGAGAGGAAGACAGCTTTGGTATGCAGTTGGTGGGATCAGTGGGATTCACCGCAGGGTTACTGTCAGGGTGCAGGGGAAAATTCTGGACCAGCCGTGTGTTCATCGCTCTTTTCCCTCCAACCCCAGGAGAGCAAATGAGGCAGAAGGACTTGTGGGCCCAGCCCTCCAGCTCCATCCTCAGGAACTCGAGGATCATCAAGTTTCATGGCTGTGAGGGAGCCTTTCTGGACAGTCCTGGTCATCCGAGGCCAGGAGCTGGGTGCCTTGTGGACCTCTGGCCTCCTCTTCTCCGTGTTGCTGGTGTCCTTCCAAGCATCTACCTTTCTGGTAATGTCACTAATCTCTATGCCGAGCAGGACTGGGGAAAGGAGTGTGGGGCTCAGGAGGTGAGGCAGGTGGAGCCTCCCAGATCCTACCACACTGTCCATCAAAACCCACACATTCTGGATCCTGTTTTCTCAGGGTTCCTGCTGTCTTCTGTGTGAATGAATGAATCACATCATTCTGGTGAAAGTGGCAGCGGCAGGTGAGGTCTGCTTTTCTGAGAGTTCCAGGCTTCCACTGATGTGGGCAGGAGGGTTCAGGTGCAGACAGGCTGCAGAGGTAGAATCCAGGGTCTGAGTGGCTTTCCTGCTGCTGGCCAGCAAATCTCCACAGCCACCCTGTCACTGATGTGATCCTTGCCCTGCCATTCTGTCATTTATTTCCTATGTCTTTCAGAACACTCTTTCTAAAGCACAGTTTTCAGAAGAATTTAAACATGTTGATGCATAGGCCGGGCACGTGACTCACACCTGCCATCCCATCTCTTTGGGAGACTGAGGTGGCTTGAACCCGGTTAGTGGAGATTGCAGTGAGCCAAGATTGTGCCACTTCACTTCATCCTGGGCGATGGAGCAAGACTTTGTGTCAAAAACAAATCAAATCTAAACAAAAGGACCACAAATGGAACCAATACCTAGGGCCCTCCCATGCTGCTCTCCCCAGGAGTCCCCAGGCTCAGCCCTCATGTCTATCACCTTCTCCACCACAAGAGCACCCTTGTTCATGCGAATGCACTCTAACCTGCACCTGATTTCTCTTCACTTTTTTATTTTTGACGACAGAGTCTTGCTCTGTTCCCCAGGCTGGAGTGCAGTGATGAAATGTCGGCTAACTGCAACCTCCATTTCCCAAGTTCAAGCAATCCTCCCACCTCACCCTCCTGAGTTGCTAAGATTACAGGCAGGTGCCACCACACCTGGGTCTTTTTTTTTTTTTTTTTTTTTTTTGTACTATTAGTAGAGATGGCATTTCACCATGTTGGCCAGGCTGGTCTTGAATTCCTAACTTCAAGGGATCCATCCACCTCAGCCTCCCAAAGTGCTGAGATTTAGATTACAGGTGTGAGCCACTGCACCTGGCCATACCCACTTTAGTATTTATTCTTCACAGCGCTCTCACCTGATGTGCTGTTTGTGTTTATGGTTTCTTCATGGATTGCCTGTCTCTTTCCTCCTCATTAGAATGATGGATCCATTAAGACAGCAGCAACTTTGTTTTGCTCATTGCTGTTTCCCCAGAGCCCGGAACTCTGCCAGGTATATAATAACCAGGCAGTAGTTATTCATAGAATGAATGAATGTAAGAATGAATAAGTGACCGGGTACTGTGGCTCATGCCTGTAATCCTAGCACTTTGGGAGGCTGAGGTGGGTGGATTGCCTGAGGTCAGGAGTTTGAGACCTGCCTGGACAACATGGTGAAACCCCATCACTACGAAAAAAAAAAAGGTAGCTAGGAATGGTGATGCACGCCTGTACTCCCAGCTACTCAGGAGGCTGAGGCAGGAAAATTGCCTGCACCCAGGAGGTGGAGGTTGCAGTGAGTCAAGATGCCTGGCAGAAAGAGAGAGACTGTCTCAGAAATAAATGAAAATAATCTTAAAAAACAGAATGAAAGACCAGAAGGCCTAGATAGAAGAAATAAGTTACAGTAATCCATAGCGCACAAGGGAAACTACCGTGAATGAGAATTTATTTGACTATTTCAAGATAGCCAGAAGAGAAGGATTTGATAAATATTGAGGTGATGACTGTCTGTTACCCTGATTTGATCATTTCATATTGTCTACAGCTGGTGTCCCCAACCCTCCTGGCCATGGATCAGTACCAGTCTGTAGCCTTTTTTTTTTTTTTTCCTTTTTTTTTGAGACAGAGTCTCACTCTGTGCAGCAGTGTGATCTCAGGTAAATGTCACCTCCACCTCCGAGGTTCAAGCAATTCTCTTGCCTCAGCCTCCTGAGTAGCTGGGATTACAGGCATGTACCACCACACCTGGCTAATTTTTGTATTTTTAGTAGAGACAGGTTTCACCACGTTGGTTCACCACGTTGGCCCAAACTCCTTACTTCAGGTGATTCGCCCTCCTCATTCTCCCAAAGTGCTGGGATTACAAGTGTGAGCCATTGCACCCTGGCTTCTTTTTGTTGTTGTTGTTGTTTTGACACGAAGTTTTGCTTTTGTTGCCCAGGCTGGAATGCAATGGTGTAATCTTGGCTCTCTGCAACCTCTGTCTCCCAGATTCAAGTGACTTTCCTGCCTCAGACTCTCAAGTAGCTGGGATTACAGGTATGAGCCACCATGCCTGGCTCCTTTCTCTCTACTAGAAATACAAATTTTTGTATTTCTAGTAGAGACAGGGTGTCTCTACATTGGTCAGGTTGGTCTCGAACTCTCGACCTCAGGTAATCCACCTGCCTCAGTCTCCCAAAGTGCTGGGATTACAGGTGTGAGCCACCGCGCCTGGCTTCCTTGTTAGAAGCTGGGCAGACAGCACAGCAGGTGAGCAGCGGGTGGGCGAGGGAGGTTTCATCTGTGTTCACAGCTGGCATCACCACCTGAGCTCCACTTCCTGTCAGATCGGTGGCATTGTTAGAGTCTCATAGGAGCGCAAACCCTACTGTAAATAGTACATTCGAGAGAGCTGGACAGTGAGCTTCTTATGAGAATCCAATGCCTGTTGATCTGTCACTGTCTCCCATCACCCCCAGAAGGGACCATCTAGTTTCAGGAAAACAAGCTCAGGGCTCCCACTAATTCTACGTTATGGTGAGTTGTGTAAGTATTTTATTATATATTACAATGTAATAATAATAGGAGTAGGCCAGGCACAGTGGCTCATGCCAGCTATCCTAGCACTTTGGAAGTCTGAGGCAGGTGAATCACCTGAGGTCGAGAGTTCAAGACCAGCCTGGCCAACATGGTGAAACACCATCTCTGCTAAAGGTACAAAAACTGGCAATGGTGGCAGGAACCTGTAATCCCAGCTACTTGGGAGGCTGAGGCAGGAGAATTGCTTGAACCCAGGAGCAGTGCACTGAACCACAATGGTAGCATTTTGAGAGGCTGAAGTGAGCGGATCACCTGAAGTCAGCAGTTCGGGACCAGCCTGGCCCACTGGTGAAACCCACATGTAATAAAAATACAAAAATTAGCTGAGTGTGGTGGTAGAAGCCTATAAGCTGAGTTACTCGTGAGGCTGAGGCAAAAGCATTGCTTGAACTCAGGAGATGGAGGTTGCAGTGAGCTGAGACCTTGTCCCTGCACTCCAGCCTGGGCAATAGAGCAAGGTTCTGTCTTTTAAAAAAAAAAAAAAAAAAGGCAAGCCAGTTACAATGGCTTATAAAACTTTGAGAGACCAAGGTGGGAAGATCACTTGAGGCTAGGAGTCCCAGGTAAACTGGGCAACATAGCAGGTCCTCATCTCTACAAAACATTTTTAAAAAATTAGGCACAGTGACATGTGCCTGTAGTCTCAGCTATTCAGGAGGCTGAGGCAAGAAAATTGCTGGAGCCCAGAAGGTGGAGGGTGAGCCATGCTTGTGCCAGTGCACTCCAGCCTGGGTGACAGAGTGAGACCCTGTCTCTCAAAAATAAAAAAGAATTCAGAGTAGAGAAAAGTATAAATTGTAAGTTCAAGCATGCCATGTCCCAAATTTTATTCAGAAGTGTTGATGTGTGCCCCAAGAACTCTGCATTCATTTCCCAGTGCTGCCTTAACAAAGTACCCTAAACTGTGTGGCTTCAACCACAGAGATTTATTCTCACAGTTCTGGAGGCCAGGTGTCTAAAATCAAGGGATTATTGATTGATTGTTTTTTTCTGTGAAGGCTGTGAGGGAGGGTCTGTCCCAGGTCTCGCTCATGGATTCTCAGAGCATCCAGAGTTCCTCGGCTTGTAGGTGGTCTTCTGTCTCTGTCTTGACATTGTCTTCCCTTTGTAGGTTTATTTGTCCACACATCTCCTTTTTATAAGAACACAGGCACACGGGATTAGGATTCACCTTCGTTACCTCAGGTTAGCTCTGTGAAGAGACTGTTTCCAAATGAGGTCACATCCACAGATCCTGCGGCGTAGGGCTTCAGTGTCTTTCAGGGAGACATAGGACAACACCTAACGCTATAGATTTGCAAATATTTTTAGTTTGAGTCTCTGGGTTTTATTTTTTCTTTTTTGCATCAGATGGGTGAGGTGATGATATCGTAACAAGTTTTGAGGAACGCACATATCATAAAACAACCTGAAAACTTAATCGTCATGTTTAGGTTTTGGTTTTTTAATTTTAGTTTTTCTTGAGGCAGGGTCTTGCCACATTACTCAGGCTGGAGGGCAGTGGTGCAATCATGGCTCACTGCAGCCTCAACCTCCTGGGCTCCAGTGATCTTCTCACCTCAGCCTCCCAAAGTGCTAGGATTATAGGAATGAGCCACCACTCCCAGCTGTTCCCTATTTTTTTGTTTGTAAGTTGTTCATTTTACTCAAAAACACACCTTTGCAGCTGGGCATCCTGGCTCATGCGCCTGTAATCTTCAGCACGTTAAGAGGCCCCGAGGCAGGTGGACCACTTGAGGTCAGGAATTCAAGACCAGCCTGGCCAACATGGTATAACGCTTTCTCTACTGAAAATACAAAAATGAGCTGGAGGTGGTGGTGTGTACCTGTAACCCCGTTGACTCGGGAAGCTTAGGCAGGAGAACCACTTGAACCCTAAAGGCGGAGGTTGCAGTGAGGCAACTTCATACTACTGCACTCCGGACTGAGTGGCAGAGCGAGACTCTCACTCAAGATAAAAACAAAAAACAAAATATACATACATATATACACACACACAGACACTTAATACACACACACACACTCACACACACACACACACCTTGGCAATCTTTTTATATATCCACATTCGCTGGTTCAATTTAAATTCTATGGTAGATTTCATTTAAATTAATACAATCTAAATACTATTCTATTAAGTTCTATAACTAAAAAGAATAGGCCATGCATTTAAATG